ACATGGAGAGCAACGGCACGGCCAACTGCGCCACCGTGCCGCAGCCGCCACCGTCGACAGGGAAGCTCATCACGATTCTGAGCATCGATGGCGGCGGCATCCGCGGCCTCATCCCAGCGACCATCATCGCATACCTCGAGGCGAAGCTCCAGGAGCTGGACGGCCCAGATGCTCGGATCGCCGACTACTTCGACGTGATCGCCGGGACGAGCACCGGCGCGCTGCTGACGTCGATGCTGGCGGCGCCGGACGAGAACAACCGGCCGCTGTTCGCCGCCAAGGACCTCAATACGTTCTACCTCGACAACGGGCCCAACATCTTCCCACAGAAAAAGTATAGAAACGCCGTTCTGTTCATCCATCTGTTCTTCCTTTTCCTTTGGTGGCTGTCACTTTCATTGATGCACCTGTTCCTCGTCACCTCCTGTCGTGTCCCTTACAACAAGTCGCGTGGCATTGGCATCTATCCACCAACTCTTGCTACCTAACGGGACAGGCGAATTTATACTGTGGTGATGGTGGTGCACTGCAGGGCCGGGTTCCTGACGCCGGTGGCGAATCTGCTCGGTTCAGTAAGGGGTCCCAAGTACGACGGCGTGTTCCTGCACGACAAGATCAAGAGCCTCACGCACGACGTCAAGGTGGCGGACACGGTCACCAACGTCATCGTGCCGGCGTTCGACGTCAAGTACCTGCAGCCCATCATCTTCTCCACGTACGAGGCCAAGAACGACGCCCTCAAGAACGCGCACCTCTCCGACATCTGCATCAGCACGTCGGCGGCGCCCACCTACTTCCCCGCGCACTTCTTCAAGACCGAGGCCGCCGATGGCAGGTCCCGGGAGTACCACCTCGTCGACGGCGGCGTCGCGGCCAACAACCCCACCATGGTCGCCATGTCCATGCTCACCAAGGAGGTGCTCCGCCGGAACCCGGACTTCAACGCCGGCAGGCCCACCGAGTACACCAACTACCTCATCATCTCCGTCGGGACTGGGTCGGCCAAGCAGGCGGAGAAGTACACCGCGCCGCAGTGCGCGAAATGGGGCCTCATTCAGTGGCTCTACAACGGTGGATTCACTCCGATCATCGACATCTTCTCCCATGCCAGTTCTGACATGGTTGACATCCATGCGGCCGTGCTCTTTCAGGCCCTCCACTGTGAGAAGAACTACCTTCGCATTCAGGTAATATTTGTAGGATACACCTTCTCTTTCAAGCATAAGATGTTCTGGATATAAAATCGATGATCATCGATGTTCGATGCTACTGGACGAATGTATGTAGGATGACACTTTGACTGGGAACACATCGTCAGTGGACATTGCGACCAAGGACAACATGGAGTCTCTGATCGGGATCGGCCAGGACCTGCTCAAGAAGCCAGTGGCCAGAGTCAACATCGACACTGGGGTGTACGAGCCCTGTGGCGGCGAGGGCACAAATGCAGAGGCGCTAGCGCACTTCGCCAAGAAACTTTCTGACGAGCGCAAGCTACGCAAGAGCAATCTCAACTCCAACTAGCAGTCACACAACTTGGCGCTTGCCAACAAATTCAGCCCAAGGAGCAACGATCGGCAGATCGAAGGGTGGTCATGTACCTAGACTAGCTAGCAATGTGCCTCACATTGTCACATAGATGCTTGGTACTGGTAGCTAGTCATTACTTATTTTTAGTAATTAGTAGTCAAGCAACACACATATATACGGACCAATAAACATGTAAGTTCAATCTTTTGTTTGTCTACGATCTCAAAAGAATCATTTCGTTCTGATGTGCGGTTCACTAGTACAGCGGAGCCCAGCACTGGCGGTTTCAGAGCCATTTCTACTGGCGTCTCATCCCACCGCCAGTGTGAAAGGCCAGTATAAATCAACAATACTACAGACGGTTACTTTGGATGCGCCAGTATTAACAGATTTTTCCTGGCGGCTACCTTAACGCGACCACTAGTGTTAATTAGATTTACACTGACGGTTGGTGTAAAGCAACCGCTAGTGTTAATTAGATTAACACTGACGATTTCCTTAAGTGAACTGTCAGTGTAACATATTTTACACAGGCGGTTCACATAAAGCCGACGCTTGTGGAATTAGATTTTCAGAGGCGGTTTGTTACGAGAGGCGCCAGTGTATTGTGTTTAAAAATTCAAATTTTGGCGCCACATATTTCCCGCTAGTGAATTGTTTTTATTTTTAAAAATTGCAAGGAACCCATAATCACATAAAATTATATTTGCATGCATGAAAAAAAAGCAATATTTATTACAATCTACCATAGTCATCACACCCTAATAATAATGTTACAATACAGTTTTTTCTAGTCGTAGCTAGGTCCCATCTAATAATCTTCATGGTGCAGCTCTAGCCTGGCAACATCTACAAGATGTCGGTACTGTGGTTGAGCTAATTCCGACTCCGGATCAAAATACTTCCCATCAAAGTGAATTATTTCTTTTCATGATGAACCAGCTAAAGTCCTCGTAAATGTTCATGAGCTCTCCATTGTCGAGGCTTTTATCGATGGGAGAGCACTTGTATACCTGCAAAAGTAATAAGATTTACAACTAACCAATATGGAGAAGGCATCAGTAATGAAAATACTTCACATATGACTATTACTTACTTTCTTAGGGTTGTTGGTGTATCTCCCATTTTGTCAGAGGAACTCGCACACATAATACCCACGGTGCACCGATCCTGGTAGTTGCTTGTGGCACTATATAAGAATTGGCAAGTGGTTACATAGTTGCTACGTGTACATATATACAAAACAAATATATGTATGCTTATTTAAAATTTACCGGATATTTATTCCGCACGGTAGCGGTTTTCCGACTTTTTTTAAATCGTACCGTCCACCCTGGAGCTTATACCACTTGTATGCCCTGCAGAGCTCGAATGAATTCACCAAGTCATTTTCAAACTCGTGTAGATAATATAGAAATGTTGAAAAGCACGCATGTAAATCTTGACTTACTGTTGTAAAAGATCGATGAATTTCTGATATCTGCCCAGTGAGAAATCTGCTGAGTCAAGGACCAAAATCCGTGCATCGTAGAGCCAAATGTACAAATAGACCCAATGGCCCCTGCACGGATTTAATGAAGTCATATGTTAAGACAGTAATAACATATAGACCCAATGGCCCCTGCACTGATATTTTATTAACTAATTATGAACATCGGAAAAATGATATTTTAACTATACAGATATTTTGTTCTATTAGTACTGATATTTTGTTCACTAATTCTTAACGTCGTACAACAGATATAATATTTTGATAATGGGTGTCCTTGTACAACCAATCTAGAGTCTCTCCAAACGGTGAAAGTTTTTCCTTCTGAAAAATTACTTTTTATCTATAATGGCAGGTGGAAAACAAAATAGATCGTCAATTCTCACGTACGACCAATAATTGAGATTCTCTCCAAACGATGAAAGTTTTTTCTTTCTGGAAAATTATTTTTTTATCTATAATGGCACGCGGGTAATTTTGTAGAAAAAATAGATCAATGGTTATAGATGGCTAGAGTCCTCGATTCGATGGCCGGGTGTTTCTGATTAACATAAGAATTTATAGCATTTTTTTTAGTGTATCTAGTGAGGATTAACATAGAAGCTCTGTTCCGACATCCAATTAGTAACAGTAAGATGGGATACGGAGCCTCGCAAATAAAGCTTATCCACCCTCGAGTCGAGTCTAGATTAGCTTGTCCTGTTCCGACGAGGCTAGCAGCCCTACGCCTGGCCTGTTCCAACTCATTTGGTCCTAAGAAGTATACTAAAGGACAAGATTCCCTTCCAGCTATGATGAGAACTCCCATGGCACGTATCGAGGGAGTACTAATTTACTAATAAGAACTCCAAGTTGCAAATTTTTTGCGCAATACGCTGGTCAGCTTACATAGGCACATGAAGCTTGCTCTGGCCTAGCTAGCAACAGGGTAATTTATCTCCTGGGATGCAGGCTTTCCAAAACTTTTGTTGTATATATTAAGTTACAATTCGTCTCAAACAAAAGACACACTGAGTCTAGACCTATTGAGAAGACAAATAGAAAGAGGTTACCAAAAAGATAAGTAAACATAAATAATATGAATGAAATTGGATCACATTGATAACATAACAGTAATTATTTCTTTATAGGTAGCGATTCTGCTAAACTAGTTCATCAACTTGTGCTCCTATACTGTCTAGAATCTTAGCAGACATAATTAGGACCCACAATTAATCCAAATTGAATATCTCATTTGTTTTTGCTCGATTTCTAACACAATTACAAGATAGATACTCTATAATCTTTATGCTTTTATGATCAACTATAGTTCCCAAATACCATGTATAGTTTTCCATCCCAATTCATAATTTTTTCTCTTTGCATAGTGACGAGAGTCTAACATAGGAGAATGTTAAGTCTCATCACCATTGTTTGGTTGGGCACCCGCCTCGTCACCATTGTTTGGAGAACTCATCAAGCTAATTCTGATTTAGTGAAGATTTATTTTTATATAAGCATCGCTTAACAGCACGTACAATAAATACATAGCATGAAAATATGTATTATATATGTGCATACGTACACGGGCGCATGAAAATATATGTGCATCTAGCATCGAATGGACATGAAATTTTCATACATAGCATGAATAAGCTACCGTAAATATTCCACATCAATCGGATAACAAAAACTATTGCTATAAATTAAGCAATATATAGCATGAATAAGCTACCCTAGAATTAATTTATTTTTATATGGAACAATCTACAAATAATAACCAGCATAATATAAAAGTAATAAGCAATCCTAGAACTAATTTATTTTTACAGCGAACAAGCTACCCTAGAATTAATTTTATGATTATAACACATAATATAGAAGTAAAAATGTTGAAACCAGAACTTAGTGGGGCAGTTAGGGTTTTGGCCCAGCGAAATCTGTCGGATGGGCCCGTGCGCTGTCCAACCGCGGACCCATCCGGCCCAGGTAGGCGAGCGGCATGCCCGGCGGCGCTCCAGGGCAGGCAGCGCGCGGCGGCAGTGCGGCGGCGCGGGGGCCAGCGGCACAGCCAGAGCACGGCAGGAGCACACAAACTCGACACAGGCGGAGCACGGTAGATGCAGACCTCGGTGGCGCGCGCGGTAGCCCAGACAGCGGCGGTAGACCTGGACGGCGGCGGTCCTCGCTGCGGGCTCCGACGGGGAAGCTCGGCGTGGCGCAGACGGGCTCCGAGGGGCGCGGCAAGACGGCTGGGCTCCGAGTTGGGTTGACGGCAGGGCTCCGAGGCGGGAGGACGTACGGCGACCTCCGAGGCGGGGCTCTGGCCGAGGTGACGTCGGGCTCCGACGGGGCGGTCCCGGCAGCGCTCGAACTCGAGGATGACGGCGGGGCTCCGAGTCGGGTTGACAGCGGGGCTCCGAAGCGGGAGGACGTACGGCGAGCTCAGAGGCGCGGCTCGGGCCGAGGAGACGGCGGGCTCCGACGGGGCGGTCCTGGCGGCGCTCGAACTCGACGATGACGGCGGGGCTCCGAGGCGGGCTCCAGCCGATATGGCGGGGCTCGGAAGCGGCGGTCCGAGCCAGGCTACGGACGAGGGGTGGCACGGGACTGCGGCACAGGCGGGGACGGTGGCGGCGTTGGAAATTTGGGCAGCCTGACGGCGTCTCGGGAAAGAAGAAAACGCCACCAGACTTCAAATTTTCAGAGGCTCACAGGGGCTCGTATATATATATATAGGGGCCATTTGTACATGCTGTTTTTGACGACCACCGCCAGTACAAATGCTTTTCACAAGCGGTTTTTAAATCCAGACGCCTGTGAAGAACAATTTGCACTGGCGGTTTGAGTTAGAAGCCGCCTGTGCAAACATTTTTCCATTTCAATTTTCCTTTTTTTTATGTATTCATTCAAACTATTATAAAACCCTACCGAAATGGCTTGAAATACTGAATTTATACAAATTAGTTAAATACTGAATTTATTTATGTATTCAAATTCAAATTGTGAAGCATGTTCAACCTACAATTAATTTATTCCAAGAGTTGTAGTTAGGGTTCTTTGAAATGGCGCAGGCACTTTGTGAAGCATGTACAAAACATCAGTGTCCAAACGGCTTGAAACTTTTTTCTACAAGCATGAAGGCCCAAATCTGGGCCCCACACCGATTCTTACATTTTTCTCATAAAATGAGGTAATTACTGAATTTATTTATCTCTTAAATCGAGAAATGAGGGCGAGTTACGCCTTGGAAATAAGATATTTTTCGACCCACAACCACAAAAAATGCTTCCCTACAAAATGTGAGACCTAGTGCACAAATCTAGCACCGTTCCGGTTCGTTTGTAGGGTAGCCTCAGTTCAACCTACAATTACGGTGTCCCACCGCACCAAAATTCATTTAAATGAAAGAAAATAGCAAAACACCTCTGAAAAATCTAAAACTTGGCGTTTCCTCATCCCGTGGCACGCACAAGCATGAGAAAAAGTTTGAGGCGTATACGACGTCAAAACAGATGAGTCATGTGGTGACCCAATAGTTGTGGTTAGGGTTATTTGAAATGGCGCAGGCACTTTGTGAAGCATGTACAATACGCCGATGTCCAAATGGCTTGAAACTTTTCTACAAACATGAATGCCCAAATTTTGGCCTGGCGCCGATTCGTACATTTTTCTGATCAAATTTGGTAATTACTGAATTTATTTATCGCTTAAATCAAGAAATGAGGGCAAGTTACGTCTTCAAAATAAGATATTTTTCGACTCACAACCACAAAAAATGGTTCCCTGGGACATGTGAGACCTAGTGTACAAATCTGGCACTGTTTCGGATCGTTTGTAGGGTAGTCTCAGTTCAACCTACAATTACGGTGTCCCGCCACCCCGAAATTCATTTAAATGAGAGAAAATAACAAAACACCTCCGAAAAATCTAAAACTTAGTGTTTCCTCGTCCCGTGGCACACACAAGCATGATAAAAAGTTTGAAACAGACAGACGAGCCATGTTGATGACATCAGTGTTGAGACATTCCCTACTGAGGGTGGATGATTCACGCAATGTCGAATTGGCTTTTCTATTGCCGCTAGGTCGGGTAACCAAGGTCAGGTTGTACCAATCTTGGAGACAGGCAGCGGTCAACCTCACTACATTGGTGGTGCGCAAAAATATGTTGTGCTAGATATTGGGGGCTATTGTGCACATATTGCTCAGAACAACATACATGATGTGGTCAGTCTCATAACTTATATTCAGATTAATTGTTATGTCTAGATATATGCATGGTTTTGATAACCATATTTTTCTCAACACTTGCAGGTTTAGCAGTATGACGTAGCATATGCAAGTTGTAGCTTTGAAGCCATTATAAACCAGGCCATGTATCAAATTGGTCGTTATGGATGGAAATATGCTGGGCCAGTATTCACTACAGAGGGAATCCAGGAAAAAGTGCTTGTGACAAGGGGGTCTTCTCAACCATTGCTGATCGTCGTTAGTGGACCTTGTGAACAATCTTGTGAAGCAAAAAAGAGTGCACTAGTAAATACATTGTGTTACATCAATGACATTCATGCATATGAAATAAATGACCTGCACTTATCCAATTACATGGTATGATGTCATGAAGTTCTAGGATTTTAAATTATTGTTGGATGTAATGAATTAATCTCAATTATTATGGTTTGTAATGAACGAATTTAAATTATTATGGGTTTGTAATGAACTGATCTAAATTATTATGGTTCATACTGAATAATTCATATATTGTACCATGGAAACTGTGGAAACGTGAGCACAGTCACCATGGAAGGAGTGAGTACATTGTTAGATACATGATACATGATAAATGATGTCAAGCACATAGTTTACATGATAAACCATTCATATAATCTATTACATGAATTACATGATAAATGACGTCAAGCACAGAGTTTAGCCAGCTATTGTTCTTGCATGTCCATCAGGGCACAACCAGGGCAATGAATTTGCTGGGTTACTTCGCTCTATATTATTTATCTTCTCAGGTAGGTCTGTAAAAGAGAGGCATTTCGCTGAACTGTTTAAAATCCTCAGGATCAAGCACACCGTCAACTCCTACAATTTGTTGTTTCTCAGAGACAACTACAAGCCTTGGCTTTCTTGCTTTTTTGTTCTCAATGCTTAGGTCCTCTGCATAGAAGACCTGTTGCAACACGGTTACCAAGGACCCACGGGTCATCCTTGTAACCTACATTACTGAGGTCAACAATTCTCAGCCATAGTTGTCCATACTGACACCTTGTTGGCCTTCAACCCATTGGCATCGAAAGATGGGAATCTAAAAATTGACACCGTAGTCTAGTTCCCATATTTCATGAACGCACCCATAATATGTAGTATATTCACCATTTTCATCTAAAGCATCACAGTGAACCCCACTGTTTTGTGCCACACTTTTTTTGTCCTTTGAATTGACACAAAACATGAAGCCATTAATGTCATACGTCTGCCATGTAGTGATCTGATCCAAATGCTAGATTCTTGATGGTATGTTCCTCCATTGTTTCCCCATATGGAATGTTCTGATCCTTTAGCCATGTGGCGAACATACGCTTGTGCTCCTTCATGACCCAATCTTCTATGTGCCCATTGTTTTGTTCGCGAAACTCTTTCATGTGTTGCTCGATCAATGGCTCCATTATCGAGAGTTGATGTAGGATGCTGTGATGTGCCTCTAGGACAGTGTTGTAATCCGACGGGATGAATGACTTCCGTCCAATTCTCCCTTTTCCATATAACCTACCCTCATGTCGGGACGGAGGCAAACCAATTGCAGTCTGGTCTTTTAGGCATTTATTGCAGAATTGACCTCCGGACTCAATGGCCTCTTCGGTAGTCTAAGCCTCTATCATTGACCCCTCAAGGTGAGCATGATTTGATACATAACCATTCATAATTGACATGACATGCTCATACGTCCACATTTCATGCAAATACATGGGATCCAATGCCTCTATTTGAGCCACCAAGTGAACAACGAGGTGTACCATGATGTCGAAGAACGATGGAGGGAAGCACATCTCGAACTGTGATAATGTCTCCATGACAAAATCCTATAGCGACTCCAATTCGTCACGGTCAATTACCTTCTGTGAGATCTTGTTGAAGAAGTAGCACAACCGTGTGATTGCCATCTTTACAAACACCGGCTTATATAGCCCTAATGGAAATAGGGAGGAAAGTAGTCAGCATGACATGACAATCATGGGAGTTCTAGTTGGTGAGTGTAAGCTCTTTCATTGACACAAGACTCTTGATGTTGGAGCAGAATCCACATTGAACTTTCAAAGTCTTTAGCCACACACAAATCGCATGTTTCTCTTCTGGGTTGAGGTTGTAGCTTGCTGTCGGGAGTAGGTACTTCCCATTTGGTTGAGGTATAGGGTGAAGTTCCTGCCGGATGCCTAAATTGACCAAGTCCAAACGCAAATTGAGTCCTTCCTTTGTCTTGCCCTTTACGTCGAGAAAGATCCCAATTATGATATCGAAAACATTCTTCTGGACATGCATACCATCGATCGCGTGTCATATGTCTAAGTCTTTCCAGTATGGCAAATACTTGAAAAAAATTGACATCTTCTTGAATGTGGCCCCTTCCGATGGCTTGACATCCTTTCTTTTCTTTCCATCTTTGGTCTTCTTCCCGAAAACAAATGTGACTTTGCTGACTATTAGGAACACTCTTTTACCTACACTTGTACCTGATGGAGGAGTAGATTTTGCTTCATCCCTATTGTCAAAGTACTTGTCCATCCTTTTCAAGCGGTACCTATGTCCTCTCGGTAAGAAGTGTCTGTGCCTCATGTACACTAGCTTGTTAGATGCAGCAAGGAACACGTGTGAGGTTTCATCTAGGCATACTACACAACCAACCTTTCCTTTGAACTGCCCCGATAATGAAAAGAGAGCTAGGTAATCATTTATGGTTACAAAAATCTTTACTTTTAGTGTGAATGGCTCCTTGCGAAACTCATCCCACATGGCCACACCCTCTTCCCATAGTTTTTTCATTTCCTCCATCAAGCTCTCTAAGAACACATCCATATCGACACCAGGTTGTGTAGGTCCAGAAATAAGAATGGTTAGCAAAAGGTATTTTCGCTTCTGGCACAGCCATGGAGGAAGGTTGTAGATGGTCAGGATCACCAGCCATGTGCTGTGTTTGCTTCTCCTCTTAGCAAATCGATTCATTCCATCAGTACTCAGCACGAACCTTATATTCCTTGGTTCGTCAGCAAATTCCTTATATGTGTCATTGAAGTTTTGCCACTACCCACTACTTGGCATCGGATGGATGTTGAAGTTTTCCATCGTGTTGGCGCTCATCAGAAGCATGCCAGTGCATAAGTTCTGCATCCTCAGGGTTTGCGAACAAACACCTCAACCGATCAACCATGGGGAGGTACCACATCACCAAAGCAGGAATCCTTCTCTGCGTGTAATAGTCTACTTCTTCATGGCTAGTGTTTTTTAACTCTCTTGG